ACCTATAATAGGACGCAGAAGAAGAAAAAAAAATTTTATAAAACCGTCATAGGAGCTTGTTTGAGCCAGAAACTTCAATCTGGTCGAAGAACTCTTTTGACCAACCGACCAACAAATCAAATTATTTTTGATCATGTAGGTATACCTTGTTAATTATAGTAGGCATCGCCACACATAGCACACCATTGATCAAGAGGATGACAGTCGTCTGCAGTTTTCCACCAAATCTTCTCAGGTATAGCTCAGATGGCAGCACCATTAACGCGTACCCAAAGAAGAATGATGATAGAACTGAACCTTGGATTTTACCGTCCCAGTTGTGGATCTGAAAACGAAAAAAATTATGTTAAGATTAGTAAAATGTACTAAAAGTGCGTAGTTTCAGGTTTGTGTAAATAAACAAGTGATAAAAAGTGTGTTTTGTTTACTCATGTTTTGGTTTTGAGACTTGACACACATTTTTATTTATGATATTATGTGATTACGTCTGGCGTTGGTCTGGTAAAGATTAATTAAGTCCGAGTTTTTAAAGCAGGTGCTGAACCTAAATTTTAAAACGTTCGAGGGCTTCTCATCACTTAAAAGAAAGTGAAAGGTATAGAAATCAAATCATTGTTTTTTTTATCAATAATTTCTTTTTTTTTATGTGTGTTAGGGCAGCAAACGAGGAGACGGTAAACAATCTGTGCCTCACGGAAACTCGCAATACCTGTAATGTTCCAAGCGTTACATTTGGGATAAGGGGTTTTTGATATTTCCTTGATTGTTTTCCATATGGCCTTCACATGAAGTAATAAGTTACCTTTATATAAGTATCATCTCTCCTCGTGGGATCTATGACCGCTAGCACGGCGACCCCCATGCTACCCCTAATGAACCCCATGCTAATGGCGCTCGCCAGCATGTACATCATCTGTATGTGCCGGACTCCGATCTTGAACCCTGGGGAAGTAACATCACATACTATTAGATTAAACGTTATCAATTATTGTCCTTGGTTTCATTCTTGACGTGAAGTTTAACATTGCAGTTCTCCCAACGGCATTGCTAAACATTTTTGATTCAGAGAGAGAAAAGTAACATGAAAGAGAGAAAGGTATAAAGAATCGAAATTACAAAATGTTAAGACGAAGAAGATGTGTGTATAAATTTACACGCCATATATGGCAGGATACGCTGGAAACAAATTGCACTGTAACACCTTTTGTACCGTACTTTAGCAAATAAACATTTTTGATTTGATTGATTTGTTTTGATACTCTCGATCACTTACCATTTTTAGTAATAACTCCATAGTAACCATCTTCAAACTGATATCTTAGAAACTCGACGTCCATTTTGTACGGCTACGAATTAAAATCAAATTACAACAACGCTCTCTAACATAGACTGTTACTGAAAAAATATGTTTACATCTATCTATTATCTTTGTTATCTCACAGACTATTACTGAAACAATAAACTGTTAGCTTCTAGTAAATAAAGCTGATTTCGTACGTAAACAAAACTATCTGTAAAAGTTCGTTGGCGTCAATAAATATTGTACTTCATCACGTCTCATCAAGACTCAATTTCCAATGTTAAATGATTTCAATTCAGAATGTCAAAGTGTGTTCTATTTAGTGAAGTGTGTGTAACTTGTGATTTAGCCGCAGACGTGATGCGTGACAAATACACGGAATGACGTCGAACAAGGCTCAGGAGAATGTACGCGACGTCACGTCGGTACAAGAATAAAAATATATTTTGACACATCGTTTCAAGGAGTAAATGGAGTTCGTTGTATTAGAATTCGAAAGGTTCAATGAATTGTAAATGAGACAGTGTCGGAAGGTATTTAAAGAAGCGTGTCAGACGGCGCGCGGCGGGAAGTACGCGGCAGTAGTTGGTAGTCATGGCAGTCGCACTATTCACGTAATTCAACCTTCAGTGAATTTTCCTACTACAAAGTGGTGGGGAAGTACGAAGTAAATTCTATGTAAATATGAAGTATTTCCAACAGTCGAAGAAGTAGTATAGATCAGGGTCGTCTTTTCTAAACATTATGGGAGATGAAACGATCACCTATCCTTCTCTTTTGCAGAGCAAGAGAATGCGATATGTATGCTTAAAGCTGTTGTCCGTTCTCAGCAACTATAGCAAAATTTATTTATTTCTTAGAGATCGATTTCAATAACATCACTGTGAACTGCATATATCTTTTGACTTTTTAAATCCATTATTATGTCGTGGTGTTGGTGTTTCTCAGATAGAGCAAATTATTAACGGGGTTTTCGAAATTCTCAGCGAGGGAAGCAGTTAGCAAACTTTACATGACTTATTACATTATTATTATAATAATATTAGCAATTTATCAGATTACCCGTGACTTAGGGCTCTAAGCCAAGGGTAACAAAACAACCCAGTTTGTCTAGAGATCGAGGAGTTATTGCTTTGTTTATTGAGGTACTATAACTTGCCTTCTGTTGTTTCTGATAACTTTGTAGCTGATAATCTTTGAATTAATTATCTTTTGGATATCGATTAGGTACTCCCACTCCCACATCCAATGTCTCAGTTGCTAGAACATTTCTTAGTTCTTGTTTTAAAGGGTTCACACTGGGGCTATGCAGGGATCCGCTGGGGGCAGGTCGCTTCAAAGTGGCCAATCTGAAAGTCATTGGTTATCTACGTTCAGCAGCGGACGTCTTGTGGTGGCTGACGATGATGGTATTGATACGAAGGTTTATCCTGTATCGCTTGATGCGTTTCCAAACACATAATTCCACATACACATCACAGTCAGGATCGAAACAATGATTTATGGATCACACTAAAAGTAGTTCCGTGCGGTAATCGAACCAGTGACATACTGAACGACATTCGACTGTCCAGTCACTGCAGAAACCATGCACTTAATTATAGGTAACATAATTTATTAATTGCTCATTAATAATTACATATTTTTACGTTAAATACATTAATTATGTGATCAAGATAGTAAAACAGATTATTTGTTAATTATTTAATTTATGTATTTCTCGTTTAGCAAGTCACGATGTGTTATGATAGACTAGCTGTTGTAAGCGAATTTGTCTGCGTAGAATATGAATTTTAGGAAATAACTTACTGTTGCAATTTTTCAAAATAGTAACCTATGTTACTTCTCAGTACATCAGATGCCAATAAAAGTCCTGTCAAAATCGTTCCAGCCATCCCAGAGATGTAACAGACAGATAGACAAAAATTGTATTGGTATTGTACGTATATTCATATGCATAAAGTAAACACTATACAAACAGACACTCCAATTTTATTTATCTGGATAGAAAGTGTAGTAGTATCTGCCTTTACTTTAGTTTGTAAATTACTTGACCACTTGTCTTAATAGAGTGCGTTAGATAAATAAATATTAATTTGTGTTTTTTCAGCCCTCTAATTGAAGCCCATGAAAATAATTATTACCAAGAGACAGAAGAATATTTTAATAAACAGTATCTACCTAACAGGAATTAAAAGAGACGTCGTTAGTATAATAATGTTTATTATCTTCGATTCATTTTATTGTTCTGTACAAAAACCATATCCAATGAATTACAATGGTTTAACTTATTGCTAACTTATGTCTAATACAATCACACACATACAAACATTATCCAGCACAAATGTAAATCGACACATTGATAAAATCCATAACTAAGCAATGCAGCACATCACATCAACAGAAGTACTGTCACTGCTGACCAAAGGCCTCTTCACTTCACACGCGGAAGAACACACGGAGAAGGTTTGAGCATTAATCGCCACGCTTGCTCAATGCAGGTTGGCGATTACAAACTTATAATTAGAAATTATAAGCCCAGGTTTACTCACGATGTTTTCCATCATCGTTTGTTGACTTTCCCCTGTTCATCCCTGATCATCAAAAGGCACATTGTTAGTTGCCGGTGGTAGGTTTTGAAACCACGCCCTCATGTATGAGAAGCGTACGTCTTAAACTCCCGGGTCACCATTACTAATATAATTACATTTTATTATAAATATCTGTAGAAAAATTTCAGTAACAATACATACATTTGTGAGACGGTGTTTCCTAGAATTACAGTCTTTAGTTTATATGGCCGCAGTAAACAAATGCTCTCATTTCAATTATATAAATGTGTCTACCCTCTTTGTGCCACAGCCACGCATTAACACTATCATCCAGACGCAACTCACTTTTAATTCTATCTACGAACACACTCCACTTTAAAACTAACGTGTATTTTATTTCAAACGAAATAAGGTATATATTAAAACCTACTGCGACGTCTAAATGTTTTGTACTTCTGTGACAACAGCACAATATGGCGGCTCTAAAATTAGGACTAGCATAACACTATACTACATACAAATCTACGTATAATGAAATGAAATAAACTTAGTCAGTACATAATATCAAGACATTCTGTCTCAGTCACACGTCCTAATAAAATACTTTCCATAATAATTGGAAGTCTATACACAAAAATACCTACCAATGTACAGTGAATATAATTTGGTCTTAAGTAGTTTAAAACACTTTTACTCCTTGAGTTACAACCGTTTACGTTATTGAAATGTAACTAGCAAATAGAAGAATAGATATAAAATTCTTACAATATAACTGCCTAACTTAATTACCCAACTGTTCATCAGTGGACCTTCTTCAGGTAATAATAATGACTACTTCGTACATAACGGAACAGCAAACACATGACTAAAATATTTCATAATATTTGTTGCCTTCTCTACCTTAATCTGAACTTTGCATGATGTAAACAGAACGCTCCAGAAACACTGACAAAAATAATTTTTTTTTTCAATTTTAATAGATTTCTTAATAACTATCGTGACACATACTAAATTAACTAAAAATCGCGGATTACTCACGTGAATATACTGAGAAAAGCTCTACTCTACCACAGAGGGGTTCTTCCTCATGAGCAGCGTGCACGGTCGCGGCAATGTCGCGCAGTCTACTAGAAAAACTAGCACCCCTCTGTGGTTCGAAACTAGTAGAGCTTTTCTCTGTATATTCACGTGAGTAACCCGCGATTTGCAGTTATTTTTTTTTCGTGCTATCCGTGCAACATTGGCCTTAAGTAGCTGATTACAACTATGAAGCTCATTACTTGAAATAAACATTTAATTCCGTAATTTTATGGAAATAGAACGAATTTTTCACCATCACCTGTCGACTTTTTCAGCGGCGTTCCGTTTTCGATCTGTATAGAGCAGAACTGTCCTTATTATGACCTAATATTTTATTAAATTCTTGTCACCAGGTCCACTAACAACATCTTAAGTTGCGTAGAAATTGCGTTTGTAAACTTTTTCAATCTCCATTGGTTAAGTAGATATCTATAGTTGCTGTTTGTTAACTTCCAACTGTTTCTCAACTTTCTTGTCCAATACCGGCGCCATTTCCTCTGCAAATAAAAGGTTAAAGTCACTTTTCTGTTTGTATTAGTTGTAAACTTTAAATAAGAATTCCTAAAGACCTTTACAATCCTTTTCATCTTGACAAATAATTAATTATGCTGAAAAATTAGGATTTTTACTTGGAAAATATTTACAATGGTATTGTAATTTGGATACGTGTCATTAACCAATTGGTTACAGACGCAACCGCCATACGATCACAATATTAGTTTCGGATTTGAAAATAATCTTACTACATTTTTAACTTGCAAATATTATCTGTTGAAATTTGTATCATGACATATCAGGTCAAAAATGGGTGTAAAATAAACCATGTGCATCACAGCCCATTGCTTTGGAAATTAAGAACCATAACAATTATTATGTTCATGTTACCTGGATCGGCTTTCCTCCTATCCTTATAGTCAGGACTATCCCAGGGTTGTCGCTCGGAGCTCCCAAATATGACATAGATGAGGTTGGTGCCGATACCCAGAGAGGCGAACAGTAAGAACACAATCCTCCAACGACTGATATCCGACTGAAAATAAATAATTTATTTGTTACTGACGGCATTTCTAGACCCTAAGACGTTTTAAGACTAAGATCCTAGTTCTACAAAAATATACCAAAAAACCATCTCAATGGATCGACCGTGATCTTTTCAATTTAATATTTTTTAATCGGAATTACGTTCCCTACATGATATTCCTGAGATAAGAAAAATATTCGACATTACCTAATTAAGTTATAATAAAACCATAAAGCAATCAGAGTTATTGTAGCAATGATTTATTTATTTATTTAAAATCTTACCTAAAACTATCATTACAGTTTTCTCCATTGCGATATTTTAGGCCTAAAACTAAATCTATGTACCTAATTACTAATTTAAAACAAGACGAAACAAAATCATTGTGCCGTTAGTCGTATCTAACAATTGTCTTATAGCTAAAAGCCTCGACCAACACCTGTGTAGGCCAGCGTTAGATGGTTGGGTCAATGGCCTGATGCAGAAAGTAGTACTTTTGGACACGGCGCGTATTGTCCGGAAATTCCTATGTTTGGAGCTTTGACCGTACCTTGGATTTCGCCCGTCACTGGTGGGCTTTATATATAAAATATTTAAAAATATACTAACCAAGTAAACAATTCATATCCGATTCGGTCGCCACATCCGCACCTGGACTTGTTTGTTTGTTTTGAATATAAAATAACTTCACAGTAATAGGGAATAGTTAATTACTGGATGTGGCTCGTTATTCAGTATTTTGGAATTTAAACTGTAAGCTGCTGAATTAGGTAAGAACTTTGATATTTGTCATAGGTGAGTAGCATTAATAAGCACAAACTAAGTCTTAAATAACATCCAATCAAAGATTCGTAATAACATTTATTTAACGATGCAAAAAAATACATCCATTGTTTAAGCGGGCAAATCGCTTACCATCAGGTGATCCGTATGCTCGTTTGCATCTAGTTTCATAAAAAAGTCTAGTTTTACTTACTGGATCATTCCTTAATATATAGCTGGTGACTACTGGAGTGAGAATGCTTCCGATACCTCCAGCGAAATTGGTCAGAGACAGCAATACGCCAGCAAACTGCGGCGATAGATCCAAGTGGTTCACCTGGAAATGTACAGGTTTTAAAATATGGGTAAGAATGTATGTACTTAGAAAGGTTGTTTTATCTGTTTATGAACTAATTTATAAACGAAAATAATATTTAAAGGAAATTCTGTTTGTCAAAGTCTCGATAGCAAATAATTATTTACCATAAACCCAGCTGAGATAAATCCAAACAAGAAAAACACCATCACCAGGATCCCAACGACAATGTTCTTATGGTCAGGACCCAGGAACGCGAGGCATATTATACCGATGCCTCCTCCGACTAGGGCTGGAAATTAAATAACATTTCCCTTAGTTGCAGAACTATATAAAAGTATACAATAAAATATCACAAAAATGTACTAAATAAAAGAAAGCTACGTCTTTTTATCTGTCTGCGATAAACTCACAAACTACTGAACAGATTTTGATAAATCCCAGTATAAAATATGTTTTTTTATGAAGACTAAAATCATGCTTCAGTACCTTTAGTTGAGCTACAAACAAGTTATTAAGCAGTACAAAGTATAACCCTGATTTATTAACGTATAACATTTATAGTTACTTACCTAATGAATTGAATATTTTCCTACAAACTCCCAGTGGCAGCCAGCCCTTGTTGTAAATCTTCTGGCAGATGATACCCGAGCCAATCGAACCCACCCACATACCCACAAACGGTAATGCTGATAATGTGGCACTCTGGAATTCAGTACACCAAGTTAATGAGTACACAGTTAACACACGAGGCCTCCGATTAAAAAATTGATGTAAATATTGAGTATGTTACCATTAATGTCAGATGACGAGATCGTTAAGAAAATAAAGATGTCTTTGAACCTGATTAATGATGCTTAAATAAAATCAAAAAGGAAAATAATACATTTAAGCTTTTTATAAGGCATAAAAATATGATTATTTAAGTACATACATTTCTCAGTGAAATATTCATGCCCCTTTCCAAGTAAGTGGGGAGATCTACGAAGAATAAGATGAAGACACTACTGCCGCCTACGTGGGACACCATGATCGCCCACAGAGCTGGAGTGCGGAATATCTCACGCCAAGGTGTAGTCTGTCTTTGCTGGAAAGAACATTGCAATTAATGAACAACTATTGCAAAATAAATTATTTGATAAGTCTTTCTCATTAGATTGAACAAATGCTTTTGTATCATTATTTATACTAGCATGCGCCCTGGGGTAATGAATAAAATACTCACTCTTGACTCACTACTAGTATCAAGTCCCATTTCAATATAATTCTTCTCTTCTTCAGTCATCATGGAGTGCTCTCCAGGGCTGCTGGCAGAGAACCAGTACCACATGGCTGCGGTCAGGAACATGATGGCAGAAGTTACATAGAAGATCATCTTCCAACCTAATGCCGTCTCTGATAGATAGCCTGATAGAGGCATGGCTATTATTGTGCCTATTTGTGATCCTGTTGAACGAGATTTTTATTGTTAGCATGTTATTAGACCCTAGTAGCGAAGGTAGAATTGAAAGATAATTCTTTAATGTAACAGTATGATTTATATTTTTTGTAAAAAGCTCCCATTTTTAATGATTGAAAGGTTATTCGCAGCTTTGACTGTCTAAAATACAAAATATAAGCAAGAATGGTGATTAATGCTCAAACCTTCTCCACGTGAGAAGAGAATTAGCTCAGCAGTGGGCACTTATAAACTGTTGATGATGATTATTATGAATACAAAATATAACTAGTTCGGTTGTAAGAGTAGGAATTTTCTTAAAAAAGGTGATTTCTTATACACGGTTGAAGTCATCCGTATATTAAGTCTCTGTTATCTTTTCTACTTTCTATCTCCACCCCTCTTTTTTTCTTTTACCTGAGTATACGATGCCAGTATAAGTCGTCCTCTCGCTGGTGGGCAGCCACCTGCCGAGGAGTGTGTGACTGGCCGGGAACAGACACGCCTGCGTCAGCCCCATCATCACACGTGTTACGCACACCAATGGCCAACCACCCTGGATGGAATAATAGACCTTATATTATTTACCTGTGTATTTTCTTACAAGCATTTAAAATTAAAACGGATTTGGTAAATAAAAGAAACCAAATTAAATCGATTTTATTAACTAACAGAAGGGACTGCTTTGCTCGAAATAATTGTCATGTCTTCTATAGTTCATCAACTAGTCATAAAGAGTTTCTAATGGAAGATAAACAATTAGGCATATGTGTATTATCAATAACACTACAAACATGATTTGAAATTCATATCTGTCACAACCGTCACCAAACTTTATTCAATTAGTTTCTTAGTTATGGAGAGGGTCAGAGGGTCTATCAAGTTATATCGATTCAACTGAACTAACAAAACTATGTAACTACAGAATCGTATTGTGGACCTGATTGTAAAAGAGTAACCTATGGAGTTTCTTGCTTGTTCTTCTCCATAGGACACTTGGGCCTCCGGTAACCTCACTCACACGACGATTTTGGATTTGATTTCAAAAGGGACCGGAATTCAGTCTCATTAAGAAATGCGCCATTTTGGTAACATAAGGTTGTTTATAGACGAAGCACTTTAATATTAACATCCATACGAGATTATTCTTTACTTTCCAAATTATGGTATGTTTCTACAACAAACTTTATAGCAAGTTGTTTCCGAAGCTGTATAAAAGCGTGTACAAACAAACAAACTCCAGTTTTATTATATTAGCAGAGACGATATGCAACTAGCTTGCAGTATGAATCGTTACAACATTATGTGAAGTGCATAACTTTTATGAGTATAAAATGTTATGTCGTATGGTAATCTGGAAATATTATGTCGCTTGCATACGATATATTATTTTAGTTTTATTATCCAGTATTTTTGGTCGTGGGCGTGAAGGAATTCTGCATGTTGAGATACAATTAATTACCGCGCATACTACTTATGAGTAAAATAAAGTAGAATTTATGAACTGTAAATCGTATGATACATTTCGTGATCAGCGCGCTGTCCACTCGAGGTGTAACCGATACGCCAGCGAAATCGGCGCTAGCCGCGCGCCACCTGCGAGTTGAAAGTGCATTTTTACCGCGCTGACGCCGCGCCGGCCACGCGCCGTCCGCTAGTTGGTAGCGCGTGGTCAGCACGTCGACGCCCCGCCGCAACCGAATTTTATAAATGTGGGATGATCTTAAGAGCCCTATGTCACTTGAAACTCGTTAAATATTTCTCGAATAGTGAATAAGCCGCATATTCTAATTAATTTGAAACGTATCAAGATATTTTTTACAAAGAAGGTTTACAATGAAACTTACCAAACCAGCTAACACGGGGAAGAGTCCAGTCAAGCATCCATTGGCTAGCAGTGCTACCAGTAGAATAGGTTTGCCTCCGAACCTCTTGGCCAACACTCCGGCTGGAACTTGCATGCACATGTAGCCCCAGAAGAACGATGATAGGATCAGACCCTGGATCTTTTTGTCCCATTCATACACCTAGTAGCAAAGTTTAAGGTGTGAGTATGTATGTATGTAAGTGCTGAAGTTAAAGCTAATTACACTTTGCAGTAATCTGAAATATTTGCCCTGCCACTGATTCAAAAATACCGCTAACAAATAAAACTTCGTGTAAATTTATCATAACATATTAATTAATCAAGCGGAAATCGACAAAAGCTAAATAATACTTGGTCCCGGGAATCGGACACGAGACCGACAGCGATGAGATCAAGAACTCCTTGTTAGCGATTGCGCTTGTGACCAACGAAACAATCCTCCTCAATAATTTCCAAAAAGATAAAATACTTCTTCATCACATCTCTCTCATAGATACAACATTAAGGATTTTTCCACAACAAAAATGGTGTGATGCTAATGGAAAAATGTATAAAAGATCACATGTATTGTAATAATGCGATAAGGATCCTTAAACAAAGACATTTGTACACATAATATTTGTTTGCTTATTTAATAATAAACTTATCGCTCTGTCGTACTGTCTCACGTAGATTTGGTATTTGTACTTTTATGCGACGCGACGAGTACTATAAATAGATAGATATTGCGTCGATAACTTAAGCAATGTCACGTGTATTTGCTATCTTCTTTCATTACTTTATTCAAGAGTTGTTTCGATGGTAGTTCGTTGATTTTGGATATTATCATCTAAATCCAATGTCAAAATTCTACTGGTCATGCAAACTGCCATTTTGGACCAACGACTAAGTGACTAGACTAAGAGGAAGACCTTAGTTCAACAGTAGACGTCTTTCAGTTGATGATGAAGATAAATAAAAGATAAATCACAAATAGAAGATCTCTACCAATACTGTCTGATTATCTTTCCAAAAATGACCATCAATTTGATTACAAATTGTGATGATCTACTACTCTGATCATCAGAACTATATTCGCAGTAGGTAATTACCTCGGCTGTGGATCCGTTGTGGTGTTTAACATCTGTCATGGCAAGGATGGCGACCCCCATACTGCTGCGCGCCAGTAACAGCGCTATCATGGAGAATGACATGCAGATCATCTGTACGTGCCGGACGCCAAACCCATGGTCTGGAAATATGAAGTTGTGTTTGGAACACATGAATATCATACACCTTTTTTTTAAGTTTTGAATGGATTATCTTAAGGATGAGACACCCTAATTGAAAACAACAGCTTCAGTTTGAGATTCAATGCTACTGAATATTTAAAAGTTGCAAAGTCAATATTACCTACTATGCGTATTGTGTAAGCTTAGAAACGATTCCAATATCTCATATGTGAATGATAATTGCCCACGTGACCACCGAATCAATCAATGTGACAAAAAACCCCCTCAAAAATCAATCTCGAAATTGAATTCAGTATTGATAAACTACTAATAAAGGATTCGATACCAAATGGAAGGTCAATGTTCCCTAATTTCCTGGGTGGTATCGTTTAATGAATAACAAAGTAAAAATAGCCAACACATCAACCGAGGTCAGAGCATCCTAGATACAGATACAGTGTTAACTTCATTGTGTCAATAAGTCAGTGACAGAACGCATTCAAGTTTATCATAATGTAACAATTGTACGCGCTGTCGATAAAATCTACATAAATTAACGCATTCATGACAGTGCAGTGTCGGATTCAATACTTAATAAGGATAGTATTTGCTGCGGGTCCTATACAAACAGGGGGACCCGCGTAAACAAAGTCATCTCCGCTTAAAACTTACAGGTCTCAAAACTAAAAATCCCTCCTAAATCTTATATTGCAGCCCCGATAGTACATGGAACGGTATAGTTTTTAGTCAATTAGAGTTTGACATTCCTTATTGCTTCACTGAAGGCGAGAGTCATTTGATGATTTTCTATCCATACAAATGAAGGGACAACTTGTCAAGATCGATAAAATTTGCTACGGGCCCCGTATTTGATAAATCCACCCCTGTGGTAGTACTTAAGATAAAATTATATTAGAAGTATATAAATGTGCAATTGGTAGTTAAATTGATATAATAATGGGAGGATACGAACCGATTAGTTTTTAATTACCAAGTACAGTGCTCCAAGCACGTTTCGCACTACCCTGGCGATAAGCTGCGCTCAGCGAAATAGATTTCTAATTGTGTTTTAATTTGGATTACTCTCAATGTGATAGCTATTTTGCAATTTTCTGCGATAACTTTTTTTTATCCATTTTGCTCGCGATAATTGTCTGGATTTAGTTAATTTGCCCGTCAGTTATGCTTTTCCAATGTCAGTTTATTAGAAAAATATAATTATTTAATCCCATTGCGCCAAATTGATTAAAATCGATTTCTGATATAGGCAAAATTTTGGATAATAGTGTAACTCTGAAGTTTAATGAAACAACCAATTAACATAACAAAAATTTAGATTGGATTGCTCTGTTCTAACTCTCACGCAATTTCTCTACTGCAATAAAAAGTAATAATGAAAACAATTCCGATCCTTGGAAACAAAATGTAAGTAATACCGAGATCAGAAAGACATTAATCTGGGTAGGTATTGTAATCACGTCGGTATTGACCGCTCACCGCAGTTTAGTAAGTAGTCGCCGGGTTCTTGGGCTGATCCCATAAAGACGGATATACTTACGTGTCGTGCCGTATCGTGACCCACTAGAAATATATTAATAAATTAAGTGTAGAAGAGACTTGTTTCGACATGGATTAGCTGGCACAGGAAACCGACGTAAAACAATGCTTGCGTTGTCTTTGCCGCGTTAGTAACAGGTTATCGGAGGCCCAATTCAATCTCGTCAACCTCCCCAATTTCTATATCCCCAAATCTCAAATCCCTCACCACCAACAAGCCGCCTCTTGTGTTTTCGGCATCCACGAGTGGTGCCGATTGCCATCAAGTGCTCCGTCTAGTCGCTAAATGCTTGCGGACAATTGGGCCACTGTGGACACGACACGTAAATATATTTCGACCATTATTTGAATAGGACAATATGTAATCGTTTTTCACTGTTTACTCCGCTACTTATTATCGATCCCCTGGGTTCAGTCCCCGGTTGAATGACTATTGTAATATATTTTGTGTCAAAAATAGAATACGGAGGCGGATCACATTATTCGACGTTATTTGATATTTGGTTCTTTGGGTAAAGAATGAAATGATACTAGTCGTTACAGGGGGTGACGCTTTCGAGTTCTTTCTTTGAGGTTTTTGCCATTTGTATTGTTTTAATATTACGTAGCTAAAGTTCCGATGTAAATTATTTTTTCTTGTCATTGTATTTTATGACGGTGCAATTAAATAATTGTTCTTTCTTTCATGTAGGTATAATGACATCTTAATAATACAAACTGCACTACAGTCTACATAACATATTTTTGTATCAATTGTATCTGCGCTGGGGTAACTTAGTGGGACGGAGTCTTTCTGATACTTTCTAAATTAAAAATAACTGTATATTATACAACGACCGACACTGTTATGTTTATCACAACAGTTTAAGATAAAAAAAAATCAAACAATTTTCGATTGTGTGACTTAATTACGATTTTATTATATTGGTATATAAATAGACCATAAGAGTGTACTATAGTAGTTTTTTAAACGTAGTTTCGTAGGTTGACTAGACGAAAATGATCAGTAACTTTATGACGAATAAACGGACATGAACACTATCAAGTCTGCCTGCATGTTTTATGGTTACTTCATTCCTGAGTACTTATATCAAAATGTTATTATTAAGTACCCGTTAACTTTAATGAGTTTTTAATTATTTAGATAGTATGTTGTTAACGGCAAAGAGCACCTATTGATTACTCTGTATACTTTGTAGAATTCTAATGTAATTGTCATTGCTTTAAGATATTTTGTCAAAATATTTTTTGCAAACGATTTTTGAAGATAATTTTCTTAATTTGTAATTAAACGAAAAGTAATAATAAAAATACAATATTTACATTTGACTTCGTGTCCCTCCGAGCCCTTCCTTGCACTTTTTTCTTTATGTTCCGTCATCTTGACTCCTCCCGGCACTCTTCGGCAAGGAATGAGACACTATGAGATACTCAAACTTATTAATATGAATATCTAATCAACACTATCATTACAAATTAACCTGTATCATTTAGATGTTAAGGTACAATGTTGAATGTTCAAGTAACTTTGAGTTGTGAGTGACAAGTGATGTATATTTAATATAACATTAGTATCAGTACAGGTATTAGTTAGTATTTATCTTAGTGATACGAAATATCTCATTGTACACCAGCGTCTAGGGAACTGATTTATTTTTAAAATTTTATCATACCCTGTGTTTATTTTGGATATTTGATGCCTAAATGAATTAAAGTTTAAATGAAATGCAGTTCAATAAGATAGAGGTATAATCGTTACGTGAAGCGATGCGATCAACCTACGTCTAAGGAATCACTAAGTGTAAGTGTTAAACATTTCATACTATGTAAGTTGGGTGATGTGAATTTGAGTCCTAGTTTGTGTTATATCGTGTGTCATTTCCTATATTTTTAATTTTATTAAGCGGTATTATAAATGTTTTATTTTGAAACAAACGTAATAAAGGTATATCTAACCTATAGAGGCGCTTAATATTGGCAGTTGTAGAGCAATACACCGGGACAAGAAAATTCAACAATATTAAGCGCAGCCGGAGAATCTAACCCAAGGCACATCGATTAGAAGTCGCAATGTATATCGTATACCAGTTTAACCATCTAATCAACCAGGGAGTTGATAGCATAAGTCGTCTTAATCACTTTATTTGCTTATCATCAGCAGATTGTTTTATTTAGCTAAATATTGACTCCTTGCTACCGTCACTACACTGTATATGTATATTCACACGGTTTTATAAAACAGTGTCTATATGGCAGACATACAAACACAATGACATGATTTTATGGGATAAACCGGTAAACGAGCACATATATCACCTGATGGTAAGCAATCGGCGTCGCTTAAGGACACCTGAAACACCAGAGGCGTTATAAGTGCGTTACCGGCCTATTGGGAATTGGGAATTTGAGGATTATTGGGAAATCAGGGAGTGGGGAGACTGGAGAGGGGCGTCATTGGGCCATCGGTAACCTCACTTACACGACGAAACACAACGCAAGTGTTGTTTCACGTCGGTTTTCTGTGAGGCCGTGGTATTACTCCGATCGAGCATGGAAGCATGGCTCTCCCACACTTAATTGTACTCTGTTTAATACAATACTATACAGTCGAAAACCTATTATAGAAGACAACCAGTTTAGGAGAACTTAACTTACCAATTGTAAAGCACGTTTAGCAATAACCATTGAAGTGTTCAAACATCACTTGGCAAAGGATCGACTGCAAACATCCAACTTAAGGTTTCCAAGCCACGAATTTGGAAACTTCGGAAATATTAAATGGAACTCCTTGACCAGTCCAACTACAACTTCAACTATTAGCTCAATTACAATCGGAATATTGTTGATTTCATGGACCTCACGCTGTATTGGAGGTTTGATTTCATGTTTATATCTTGATATTGTTCTTGGTACTTTCAAAGATTTCAAAATAGGTAAATCTGTAACTGATATAAAAGTGACTACCGTCAAATACTTCTAGTAAATAAAGTCTCGTTATTTATTCAATATTTAATAATACAAGGCAAATTTATTACTTTCACATCGTGTCTATGATTTTTTCCTTTTCTTTTTTTTATTAGACAACTCCACCACAACCTCCCAAAACCGCTGCAACTCCTGTAAGCCAGGATCTACAGTAGATACAACCATGATAACACCGGAACACTAAAGTTCAGCGCATCTCAGGGACATGACTATCGATCCCACAACGAAATAAATAAGAAGATATTATAAGAGTAGGAGAGAAAAAAACGATTCATAATTAACAGGTCGAGGTCTTGGTCGTAATCGGTTTTCATATACAGCATGTAATTCTACTGGCCGAGATTGCCTCGTTGGCCGAGTGGTTGCCATTGTGACTAGCAAAAGGTTCTGGGTTCGATACCCGGGTCGGGCAAAGTATTGTATATTATAGGGTTTTAAAAAAATACTCAGTACTAGCACGGAGTCTGGAATTGTGCTCGGTATATGGTAGTATGCTCACCCCCGCTATCACATGGGACTCATAACATATGTAAAAGTGAAAAATGGGTGTTACATTGTACAGCGGCATCAAGTGCCGTAATGTACATACATACACGTTTGCCTTCAGGGATCAAAGGCGTGATGTTATACATGTAATTACACTCTTTACCAAAATGGTTACATTTTCCCAAACATAATTAGGTAATCTTGTCCTAAAGATAAGAGAAAAAAAAATCAGTAGCACACGACTATGTGGTGTACAGCGCAGGCGCAGTACCGCAGTATTTTGTTTACATAGTCGAGCAATCACATATGTCAACATCGCGTGGGTGTGGCTACACAATAACAAATCATATAGATATATTTAAGTGTGGGAGAGCCATGCTTCGGCACGAATGGGCCGGCTCGACCGGAGTGATACCACGGCCTCACAGAAAACCGACGTGAAGCAATGCTTGCATTGTGTTTCGTCGTGTGAGTGAGGTTACCGGAGGCCCAATTACCTTCCCCTTCCCCAATTTCCCCAATCCCTGAATCCCCAACGATCCTCAAACTCCTAATCCCCAAAAAGCCGGTGACGCACTTGTAACACCTCTGGTGTTCTAGATGTCCATGGGCGACGCCGATTGCTTACCATCAGGTGATCCGTCTGCTCGTTTACCGGCTTATGGCATAAAAAAAAAAAAAAAAAAAGATATGAACAAAAGTACTAAATAATACATCAAGATAATTGAAGCTAAATCATTGTTTTCATATAGTTGCTAATTGGTATAACATTACATTTCTATCACACTACTCCAAGTTTGAAATCGATAGGTAATCCACCTTGAACATGGTGGTTGTTGTTCACATCTTCTTCGTATGAGAAGAGGTCTTTGCTTTGCAGAACTCATAGTCTTATTATGTAATGACTACTTCCAAATTTTAATCTCATTCCAAAAAAGGCAGATATGTCATGTATGTATGTACATCTATAGTTATTACTTTGTGCTTTTGATATGACGTCTCATTGTACTGTTTTTTTTTAAATATTTTTATTGCTTTTTTGTTTAATTTCTGTGATGATGCAAATAAACAGATTTTCTTTACATATTTTTGTTTTTATTTAATAACTCGAACTATTTAACAAAAGAAATCACATTTACTGCTTCTGATAATGTTTGCAAACAAACAACATTAATATATTAGTGAATAAATAAAAATATCAATTTAATATTATATTCATATTTTTTATTAATAAATTATAATACCTCACTGTATGTATATTAAATATTCTTGCTACTTACATTATTTCAAAGATCTTATTTATAAACTCCTAAATATTTTAATAAATTAGTTCTTAATGTCTAATCACAGTTACTGGCTAGCTGTACACAGATTCCTTGGAAATTTATCTAAGCTAATTTAATACCTATATCTACATATAATACATTTCTAGTTCTATTCTCCTGTAGTGAACCACAAATAACTTTGGCTGTCTTGGATTGTCTTGAATAATTACAGAAAACTTGTTTAGAATCACTAACATCTTTTAGGAACTATGTATAAAAATCTATATAAAACTATATATTTCAGTACAGTTCCACTTTTCATTGAAAAGAACACAGCAAAGCCGAGACGGCTAATATAATAATACCACAGTAGTCAGTCAGTCAGTCAGTCTGTCAGTTTTTAGTAGTCGTCTATAAAGTTGTCTTGACAAATCTGTCGTTTGTGGCGCTTACAACTTCAGGAGATTCTTCTACTGGAGGCTTCGTCTCCTTTGGAGGTCTCTTTTTGCCACCTGTAATTAAAAATAAACGGTTAAACATCGTAATTAAAACCACGTGAGAAAGGAGATAAAAGGAATCAAATTTAAAAGAAATAATAAAATTCTTGAGGACTACAAATTAACTCGTCGAGTACCGGTTTTGTAGACACAATTATAGAACAATAGGTTGCAGTCACCGGTGACCGCTTGGTATTTGACAGTTTAAAACAAAAAAGTATTCACTTTAAATTTTCAAAATTCTATATCGAAGTAAAAAGTACAACTTACCACCCAAAGCAAGCTTCTGAAGTGTTGAGAAAGGAGCATCAATGCAGATACATAGGATGAAGGCGAATAAGAAAGAAAGAGAGAAGTCACTCATGAATCTGTATATCTGTAAACAAAATACACACTATTAGTAACACGAACTACATTGGATAAATACTATATTTGATTACATGAAGCTAATATTTTTTTACTTACATTTTGTCCATCAGTGAAGTAGTAAGGCTTCACCCAGCTTCCAACGGCTGTGAAGATAATTGGCAAGTGGATCAGATACACGGCGTACGAGAGACGAGCTGGCAACTTCCAGATTTGTAGCGAGAGGAACCAGTTGATAGGACCTGAGGAGAAGACATTATATATAAAACTTGCCTATTACGTAAGTTCGTCACAAGAAATTATGACTTGCATAGAAAAGATTTATTGTAGGATGAAGACATTTAAGAAGAATTTTACCTCCATAGCCATGGACGCAGGCAAAGATGAGCCAACCCAAGCCAATGGCCCAGATAGCGCGCATGTAAGCGTTCAAGAAGTTGTCGAACAGCTGGGCACTGTGCTCTCGCTGCATCACGGGGTAGATCGAGAAGATGCAGAACGCCATCATAATGAAGGACAAAGCCCACAGGATAATCACTTGGAACTGAAATTTAAAAGAAAATGTTATTGTTGTGACAGCAAATACTGTATCCATTAATTGAAAAAAAATGACTTCAAATCTTAGATTACCACATAGACACAAATACTACAACTAACCTTAGATATTCTGATTTTCTTGTCCTTGCATAAGTACAGCAGATAACCGTAGATCATTCCCACGAAGAAGGGAGGAGCACGAGCCAAAGTGTTCAGGTAGTAAGTCTGCACGTAAGATTGAAATTGAGGGATACGCCTGTGTAACAAAAATTAGTAATTAGTATTATTCAAG